TATAAAATAACTATTTATATATAAACATAATATATTTAACATATTTTTGTGACAGTATTACAGTCAAACACAAATCTTTACCATGTTCAGTTGCGTTGTAAGATTCGCAATGCTTAGCAAAAGCTAAAAGAAATTCAATCCGACCTAAAATATCACCCATGCCTTAGGGCTTTTTATTGAGTAAAATTTCCATAAAATCCTAGATTTAGGCATATTTGAAAAAAATCCTTCCTTCTTGATGGTTTCAAGTCATGGCTCATTGCCTAAACTTTTTCTCTTTTTAATGCAGGTGCTGTTTGGAGTAGTAGCAATTTCTTTTCTTTTTTCACCAATGCAGCTATCCTAAAAAACCGTCGTTTTTTTCATTTTGCGAGATATCAACTTACGAAAATGCTATATTAAGCTAAGCTCAATTGTTCTAAGTTTAATAAATCTTTTAACTTATCTTAGAAATTAGATTCTTTAGATATTTGAAATGCATCTTTAATGTTGAATATATATTTAAATGTGTTATCAACAAAGCAAGGTTTAGCGTTTCACCTTTAATTCATGGGTCTAATCATAATAGCTTTATAAATGTACATGTTTCCATATTCAACATAAATTTTATAAATTTTTACATGTTTCCAAATTCAACATATGATACCAATGACTAAATATAAAAAATATCTTTTATAAATTATATTTTCTTGCTAGCAATAAAACAGAATTTGTTATTCTAGTTGTTAAAACTCTAAAAAACCTTTTAAGTCCTGTTTCTATCGTGTAAACCCTTTCTTCCCTATATAAAAGAGGTTTTACAGTCTTTAAAGTTCTTTTAAGATTATTTTTTGAATTTAACAACTTATTCTCTAAAAAGAATCCGACTTTAGCATCTCTTGTTTTAAGGCTGATTTGTTATCTATTGTAACAGAAATATTTTATAGTGCATATGTAGAAGCAGTGGAGCAAGTGCCACAGCTCTTAACTTATGATAAGTTATCAACAATCTGGCATGGTGGTCTTTTTCATAAGCTTTCTTCATATGGCGCTTCTAGAAACATACTTCAAACATACTTCAAACTGAATTACTTCTATCTAATCACACTATTAAAGCTTACTCATAAGCTAAGTCTATTAAAATTGGTCCTTAATTATTTCTCATCTAATAAAACTATCTTTTCGACAAAATCTAAACAAAACATAGTTCTTTACTGTACAATATTATTGCCATATTTTTGATTCAGACCGACTTAAGAACAACTGGTGCTATCTTTTGATTATAAAATAAACTTTGTCGTAGACAGACGTGTTCTGATTACCAGTGGAAAAAATAAAACTATTTTTTTTTTTTTTGGCTTGCTGACTTGAATTTTTTTTTTTTAAACTAAATAATTATAAAGTTACAAACAGAATCTTGCATTATGATGATAAAAACTTTTTACTAAATATTGTTTGAGAAATTTTCAAAGGAATATTTTCAAAACAACAAAGCGACATTCTTAAACTCATCAGCGGATATTTAAAACTTTATAATGACAGAATTGATGGGTTGATTACAGTAATATTATCAATAAAATAATTAAACTTGTTTAAAGAAAAAACGTCAAAGAAAGTAAAATTTGAAAATGACAATGAAGGCATAAAGTATTAATGTGTTCAAAGAAACAATGAAGAGAGTTATATATATATATATATATATATATATATATATATATATATATATATATAATATATATATATATATATATATATATATATATATATATATATATATATCTAGAGAAAAAAAAAAAAAAACAGAAGTCAAACTAAGAGAGACAATAAAATAAGAAAACTGGAAGCAAGGAAATAAAAAACTTATCTAGGAATTAATGAACATTCACAAAATGAATCAGAAAGGTGGGAGGGCAACCAAATTGAAGATCATTAAAATATTTGTAAACAATATCAACAGAAAAGGAGTTACTATTAAACGGGCGCAAAGAAAAGGAAAGATAGGTTCAAGAACTTTGAGAACGTTAACAATCAGGCTATTTAATTATATTTTCAAGATTCAAATGTTAAAAATTGCAAAAAAGTCAAAGTATATTTTCATAAACAAGGAATACTTCTTCAATAGAACTGTGATATAGTTATTTGCAAAAATAAAAGTTAAAAGCAGATACAGTTTGCACTCTATTGATATTTATGACAAACAGTAAAAGAGTTTAGGACTATAATAACATTAAAATTTAATCATTCAATTAAGTTTTGAAAAACTTTATTTACTCAACACAAAAATAAATTTTAAAGTATTATGATATACAAAAACATGGTGTCACAATATAGAAATGGAAAACAATTCAGATTTTCAAGAAAAAAATTATAAAGTAGTTCACCAACTTAGAGATTCTAAAAAAGCATATGGAGGGGTATTCAGCTTTATGCACATTTTAATACTTATAAAACGTTAATTGAATAGTGCACAGAAAATAATGACTGAGAGTCATTAATATTGATATCTTTTGTAAAACCACAAAAAACGTTACAGTACATGCTTTATACTGACCGCCGTCAAGTAAAATTTGACTTTTTGATAAATGCATAAAAAGTTTATTTATAAATAAAGGTGTTTGCCGTAAATGCATTTACTTCGTGGAATTGGTAAGTTTAAATGTGATAGAAAATAACTCAAATAGAAGCGTCAGATATTTTCTAAATTTAGTATTTCAATATGGTTTTATTCCAACCATAAATTAATCAACTAGATTCATCAAAAACAAATCAATCCCCATTGATTAAATAACAAAAAACAATTTAAAGACACAAAAGCTAAAACTGTAATATTTATATACGATGTATCGGATCATTTTCTAAATTTTATTGAAACTCAAATATGCAATCTAAACTCTCCAAAAGTGAAATAACTAACAACCTTTCTATCTAACTATTTAATCAGTCCTTATCTTCTAAATGCTGAAAATAAATATTATAAAAAAATCACTAACAACGCTCATACAGTTTTATTTTTTTTTTCATAAATAATTATTTATGAAAACTATTCATGGAAACCCTTTGATTTCTCCGATTTTATGCATACCTACCGGGTTGTAAAGTTATCAAAATAGAAACAACGTTTGTATAAAAATTTTCTTAAAAAATTTCAATTAATAGTGAGTACATGTAAAAAAATACATTTAGGTAATTTAGAGCTTGTTTTTAATTGTTCTAAAAAAATGTATTATTTGAAGCAATTACTAAATTCAAAGTTGACACTCAATAAACCTGGAATGTCATTAAAGAATTAAACAGTACAAAAAAGCTAATAATTAGTTGTCTTCCGAAAATAACAAACTTTAACGACATTGACATATTTATTGAATCAACAACCGCAAAAATATTTTATCAGGCTTTTGTTAATATAAGACGAACTTTGGCCTTAAAATGAATCCCGGCAAATCTAGCGTATTTAATATTTACACTATATAATATTGCTATTATTGAATATTTTTATTCTTTCTTTTAAACATGGAGTGTTTCCATAAAACTTTAGAGCTGCAAAAGATAAAGCGGTTTTCATATCATGTGGTTCTACTATTGTTTCTAATAATAGGTCCGTCTCCATTCTACATAGCTTCTCTAAAATACAAGGGCAAATATTGTGTAAGACTATACTATAGGTTATACTATTTTCTAGAAACTAATTTTGTATATATAAAATAATTTGGGTTCAAAAAAAGTCAATCAACTAACCATGCTATTCTTAAACTTGTTCATGAAATATTTTATTCGTTTGATTCGATTTTATTCGTTTTTTTATTCATTGAAACAAAGCTACGATTATTTCAAATACAATTTTATTTGCTGACGATACTAATTTGTTTTATTACCATATTGATACACAAACACTATAAAACACATTAAACAAAGAACTATTCAAAGATTCTTAACAGTTAAAAACAAAAAAATATTGTTTAAATACTTTGAAGACCGCTAAATAAATAAATATACACATACATATATATATATATATATATATATATATATATATACATATATATATATATATATATATATATATATATATATATATATATATATATATATATATATATATATATATATATATATATATATATATATATATATATATATATATATATATATATATATATATTGACTGCAGATGCTATTAATTTTTAACTTTAATTGATTTTTCATCCAAATTTTATACTCTATTTATCTACTTTGCTATACAATGTTCTTTTATTTAAAGATACTGTTGGCTAAACAATTGAACAATCACAAACAATCAGACTAACCCAATTTTTCATTAATTATTGACTTGAACTGGTATTACACAACATTCCAGAAAACAAGTCGATATAATAATAATGACATCACATCTCGTTCATTTACTTTTACAAATTTTAATATTTTTTTTCTTGATTAACAATTTTTTTATTTGTTTTATTTGCTTTTATATTAAATTTAAAAAAAAAAAACATTTTTAGGCCAGAGGTGTACCTAACTTTGATGCTCTAACCAACTGAGCTATCTAGCCCTTGCCTCAAAACTATATCATGTTAAATTTAAATATCATATCAAAAATAGCCCTGATTTTTGATACTTTTCTATGTCGTATCGTTCATTTTTATGGCATCGGTATGCATTAAAACTTTTTCGACGTACACACTTTTTTGCTAAGAATTTTTTTATTTGTTTTAGCTTTCTGAACAGTTAATTTAAAAGTTTTAAGATATAAGTTTATATTAAAACAATAGTAAGTAACTAAGCCAATACCCCATTATATCATTTGTTTTATAAATCTTACTCTAATAGATACGTTATCACAAATAATTACAAAATATTAAATATAAAGGAATAAATTTAATATAAAAAAACCCTAAAAAAGTCATATAAAGAGCTAAATTAAATTGATCTATCACTAATTATTTTCTATAAAACAGCATTATTTTGTACAACAAGAGCACTTTATTTTTTTTAATATAAAGAAACCAGCAGTTTACAAAGCATACCTATTGAAAATCCAAGTAAAAAAATAAAGTAGAAATTGCTCAAATACTTCATACTTCTTGTGTTTAACTGAACTTTATGTAAAATATTATTCAGTTGATGTAAAGTAGATGCATAAATATACTTTAAACTACTTTTTTTCAACTTTATTCACTAAAAAAAAAATATGTCTTTTTCTGTTTAAGTTTTATTTTTGCTTTTTTAAGAACGTCAGCTTCACAAAAATATACTTTGAACTGACTGAATTTTTCAGCAACTATCAAGCTGTTGATAAAACATGTACAAAACGTACTTAAAAATACTTAGAAAAACACAATCCTACTGGAATTAATTCTTAATATACTTAATATCCTTACAAAATATGAGAAATGTTTTAAGTTATAATCTCTATTATACAGTCAACTACTCCTTCATATTGTAAAACTTTAAGCTAAAATCAAAAACATAATAAAAAATGCTATGAGATTAATTATTCAAACATTATTGGGATTAAAAAAAAAAAAAAGTTTTCTCAAATACTTTTAAAATAGTAAATTACTTTAATAAATCGAGCGCTATATTTATTGACATTATAACCAGTTTTAGAATTAATAATGTGCAAATACTTTATTTTTTATTGTTTTTTATTTGTATCTATTGCTTTTAGTTTTGTTTAAACAAAATATAATAATATTTAGTCCACTTTTGCAAATGTTGAACTTTTGATTAAGAAAAAGCTTTTTGAAATTCTATTATGTTTTTGTTTGCTTGAAACGATTTAAATTATTTACTTTTGAAGCGAAATGAATTTCACTTTTTAAAATTCACAATATTCTATCAATACATTTTTTAATTGTTGAAATCTTAAGAATAGCTGCAAAAATATTTTTGCTTTCAAAATTCTGATAAGTGTACCGAAATGTATTTTCATTACCTAAACAATAACTCACTTTCGAATCTCTATAATTTGTATAGAAATATTTTTATGTTATCAAACTTCTAAAAATGCCACCAAAACATTTTATTACTTTCGTATCTCTATAATTTGTATCAAAATTTTTTTATGCGATCGAATTTTTAAATATGACATCAAAAGATGATTTCATATTCAAGTCTCGAGAATTTTTATCGAATTATTTTTATATAATGGAAATTATAAAAACGGTATGGAAAAAAATTTTTGCTTCCAAAATTCTTTAAATCACTTTAAAATATTTTTTTTATTACTTTAGTTCTAAAAACTGTATTTCAATGTATATTTATAATAACAAAAAACTAAAACTCTTAAAATTAGGACAAAACAATTTTCAAAATCTCATACTCCTTTTAAACACGCTCTTTAGAATGATTATTGATGGCTAGATGTAGTCAAGATCGGCGCGAAAAGTATGTGTGGGAGTAGGGTAGGACGGTGACATGCTTCCATTTAATAAATCAACCGGTAAGTTAGGACCTTTTTTAAGAAATGTTTATTAGGAGAAATAGGATATTTGGATAATTCCTTAATACTTATCACACGTCAGCAAATTATTATATTAGAGGCTCTTTTTTTTCTTTCTTTTCTTTCTATAGGTTTTGCATAAGTTTCATATGGGTTTCAGTTTTACTTTGTGAGAATTTTCAGTATTAATCTTATCTATATTGCGAAAATGCTAATATCTTCGTTTTATTTCCGTTTTATCTCCGCTTTATAAGTCTTATAACGTTGTTACAATGATGATCTAATTGCGCGTAATTGTTTTGCTTAATAAATAGTAAGAAAATTTCTCAGGTATATTCGCAAGATTGAAGGTAACTTTATGCATTTCAATTTTTCACAAAAATTATTTTGGTTTAAAAGCTCAATTTTACTGTGCTTGCAGTTAAAATAACTTTTTATTGTCAAAAGGAATATTATATTAATTTTGAAAAAAATTCAATAAAATCTATAAACAAAAAAAAAAAAAAAACTAAATTAATTTCATACTCTATAAACTTTATTTTTTATTTTATTGCAATTGAATAATATTGAATTAAATCTAAACTAAAACTTTTAAGAACAACTAAACTATTAATAAAACTAGCAAAAACTATGCAATATTTTAATGAGTATAAGATCATCTGCAACATATTTGTTCCGCTAAAAAAATGCATTAAATGTCGTCCGTAAATTACCTCACGCAATTATTGACTGTTTTTAACCTTCCCCTCCTCGTCATAAAATCGTAACAATTAAGCGGCAAGTTTTGTATTAGTCGTCACAAAACCACCATACCCCTCCCCCTTACAACGTGACGTTAATTATGAACAACCCCTTAGTAAAAAAATCAAATATTTCTCGTCGCACTTTACAAAAAAAAAAACAGACCAAAAAAATCCTTTACTCTTAGTACAACAATAAGAAAACTGTTACATTTTTATTAAATAGTTTCACTATTAACACAATAATTACATATTTATTAAATAATTTCAATATCAACATGCATCCGGTACATGTTGAGAAATCTTTTAAATTCGTTTGTGTTCTGTCACCTTTTGTTAATGTAAAAATAATATTACTATAGAGAGTAACTATCTCTGAGACTTAAACCATACTTGTCAGTGTTCTACTAGAAAGAAGTTTTTAAATAAAACTCATTTTTTGTGCTGCCATTCAGGAAAAGTTGTATTAGCTCCTTTTTCTCTATATCCACCATTGTTGACTAATTTAAGGGCTGAAAACCATGTCAATCATACTGTAAATTAAAACTTTTTTTAAGCACATAAGGAGTTATAATTCTACTTTATCTTTCGGTTATTTTGCCGAAATGGCCCTTTTCTCAAAAAATAGCCCTTTCTGTTTTTTTTTTTTTTTTTTCATATTTTTTTGTTATTTCACCTCCCCAAGGCCGAGAATGCTTCTACAGACGAGGAGGCTACTTAGATGTGGTTATAACCCTCTCTCAACTCTATAACTCCAAAACACAAACCTTGATGAAGAAGGCCGCTGCGCGGAGAAACAAGTTGAGGTTTTGTAAGCAAATTTTAAATCGTGTTACATAACACAATTTAAAATGCGCGGAGAAACAAGTTTTAGGTTCTGTAAACAAATTTTAAATAGTGTTGCAAAGTTAAGGCCTAAGGCAGGTGTTATGGTTTTAATACATTATAACTTTTTTTTTATTTATTGATTTATTGGTTTTATTTCATATCTTTTATTATCTCTAGGTACTATTTTTTCAGTTTTAAATAAGTTGTTGTACTCATTTATACTTGACTGATTACATTAATTAAATGGTTTTATTGCATTTTTTTTCTTTTATATAAGCTTAGCTGCCGCGTCTTCTGGCACAAGTATGTTGTTGTATTCACTTATACTTGTTATATTGTTTAATTGCTTTTATTACTAAATATTGATATATTTTGGAGATTTCCACCAGTACATTTGATTAGTATAGTTGTACTTACTTATACATATACTTTGATATTTTTTTAGATTAAACTTATTTTATAAAAAAAACTTCTTATTTATCTTGAGAAAAAACATTTTTTGTACCTAACAAAATTTTTATATTTTTTCTCTTTGAAATAGTTTAATATAGATATATTGCCATTTTCGCTTTGAATATATATTTTTCCGTTATTTTTTATGTGAAAAGAATACATTGATACTTTTAATCATTTAGGTGATTACAGATTTTTATATTCCCATTCTTATTAGGAATGTTTTTGTAGCGATATTTGGTACAAACAATAGCTATAATAATTTAACAATAATAATTTAACAAATTGCAAATTCCGCTATTAAAAACAGCTTAATTCAAAGAATTTTACTTGAGATGCAGAAAATTTTTACAAGAAATGCCAAACAAATAAAACTAACTTAAATGACATAACTAGGATCCATGACCAGTTTCTGTGTCTTCCTTTGCTCTATAAAGAAACCTTAATGAGAGCCTTTAAAAATAATAACCTACAAAAGTTCTTATCACAGCCGTAAATTATTCATAGCTTCCAAAAACACTGAAAAAATGTTACGCTAATGTAATCTCTGTAAAAGAAAATTTAGTTATGTAAACAATATTAAAGACAACCGTTAACCAAAACTCAAGAATTTTATATCGATTTGTTTTGCCGTAAACTAAGAATCATTGAAGTAAAGAACAAATTAAGTATAAATATAGTCAGTTGTGTTCCTAGTTATAATTGTACCGGTTTTGACAGCGCTTTGTAAAAAATAATAACTTTTTAATATAATTTTTCAAATTAAAGTATCAGTTCTTTTTTTACCTCAAGAAAAATATCTTTTGTTTCTTCTCAAGGAACGTATCTTTTGTTTGCCCTCAATTTTTATATTTTTTTCTCGTTGAATTTATTAGTTCGTATAAATATATTCTTTACTGAAGAGTTTTTATAAAATAAAATCATATTAATAGAGCTAATTTCATTGGCATAACTAAGAACCGTTTTCTGTGTTCTCTTCTGCATTTTAAATAAATTTTAATGAGGTGTTAAAAAGAAATTGGTTTACATTTTTTTTTGTTAAAATCTTATTAATCCTAAAACACTGGAATAAATACAACGTAACTGTGATTTATGATAAAATTGAAAAAGTATAGTTTCAAATTATAGTAAATTTATTGTTAACCAAAAGACAAGAGTTTAAAATTTTGATTGATTTTAAATTTAAGATTGATTTACTTCTAATTATTAAGGTTTATTGATTAATGTAAGAAAATCAGTTTAAACACAAGTTTAGATATAGTCGGGTGTGGAACAGATTTACCATGACTCGTGTCGTACCAATCATAACAGCTAATATACTATGAAACACATAAACGTATATAAATATAAACACAAAACGTACAGACCACAGGAGAATGCGAAGTCAACACCAACCATGCGGCACAAAAAACTTGCATGGGCGTTAATGCACGCAAACTGGTCCCACAATAGTTGAAGTAAGATATGCACAAATTTATTGTAATGCCTAATGAAACTATATTCAATTGCAAACAGTTTTCAAAAATTAATCAACTTATAAATATATATATATATATATATATATATATATATATATATATATATATATATATATATATATATATATATATATATATATATATATATATATATATATATATATATATATATATATATATATATATATATATATATATATATATATATATATATATATATATATATATATATATATATATATATATATATATATATATATATATATATACATATATATATATATATTTAAACAATTTTAAAAAAATATTCAACAAAATTGAGTCCTCAATGATCTTTATAGAACAGAGCAAGTATAA